TACTCAATATTATACAGAAATATAAGCAAATGTTAATGTTAGTAAATATTATAACAGTATTTACATGTGTGTGTAAATTATTTATTTATACCTTACTTAGTGGTGTTTACTAGTAATATTTATCCCTTCTTAATATTATTGTCTGTTAATAATATATTTTGTTTATTCCAAATTAAAGACAAAAAATTAAAAGTAATGTTCCTTTATTATATCACAAAATAATCATATGATGATATGTTATTACACACTATTTTATACTTAAGTTTATTTTCTGTGTCCCTTTAACAGTAAATGACTTATATTTACTTTTTGATAAATTATATTTACTTTTATAAGATTGTGTTTAATCAACATACTAAATTAAAACAATTAATTTGAAATTAGTATTTAAAGTTCTGAAAGAATGTTCAGTACACCATTACTAAATCATTGCTTTAGAGGAAAATATTAAACAAGACTTTGTAGCAATCAGAAAGTAAATTAAAATTTAAAAAACAAGTTTCTGAATGAGATTGCTATGGTAACTGAGCATAATTATTATTTTAAAGTTTTATGACCATAGAATCCAAAAAGAAACTTTTGTTTAAAAAAATTTTATGTTCTTTTGAACAAAAAATTGTTTACTTTTGAGATAACAATCAAAATGATTGTGTAACAATCATTGGGTTGATGCTCCTCCTATTTATAACATAAAAAGTTAGTATATTTCATGCTGTTACTTAATTACTTAATTTTTTACTTTTACTTTAGAAAGTAATTAAGTCTAGAGAAAAGTTTTTTTGTTCTCATAAGTTTTAATTTTTTTACTACTTTTTACATTCAAGTTCTAGACATCTTATAACTCTTGTTTTTATTACAGTTATTGCAGAGCTCGGTGTATAAGAATAGCAAAAGAATAAGTGTTTATCTAAGCAGGGACATTGAGATTGACACTAGATCAATTTTAAGGAGTATATTTTCCTCTGGAAAAGAGTGTTTCATTCCAAAATATGAGTAAGATTTAAAGTTTGTGATGAATTGAGAAATTTTCCTTTCTTTAACACTTTTAATTATTGTTATCTTATGTATTGTAAAGAAGCACATTTCTTTGAACTACCTTAAAGTATTTCAACTTTTGGCTCTAATATTTTTTCCACCTATTATTGTTTTAGGGGAACAGATTTAAATTGATGGCACTTTCTCAAAAACTTGTTTCTTGACCATACCTAGTATATTTATAATTAAAAATATTTTTGGGGGAAAAAAATCCACAAAAATTTTGATGGTTCATAATTTTTTTTTCCTCTTGTTGTTTATAAAATTTCTCACCAGATCTATTTTAAGATTCATTTATTAAGGAATTTTATTAGTTATCCAATTTTAAGGAGAGTATTACTAATCCAATTTCATGGAATGTAGCACTTTTTTGGGAAAGAGTGATTCATAACGTTGATTCTGAAGTATGAGTTAGATACAGAGACTGTAAAACACAGTGATTTTTTTTTACATTATTACTATAATCTTTTTTTTGGGGGGGGGGGGGAATTCCACACAAATTTTGATACTTTATAATTTTTTTAAATTTTTTTTTCTAGTGGTATATGAAATTTCTCACCAGATCAATTTTAAGATTTTTTTTCTTAGATAGTTTTATTAGTCATCCAATTTTAAGGAGAGTATTACTCATCCAATTTTATGAATTGCAGCACTCTTTCGGAAAAGAGTACTGCATTCCAAAGCATGAGTTAGATATAGAGACTGTGCAACGTTATAAATTTTTTTTTTTTTATGCATCTATTATTATTTAATAGATTAGATATTAAGATCTCATTTAGATAACTTCCATTAGTTCAACTTTTGAGTTTAGTTAGTTCAACCTTTTTTTATAGGGTTCCCATGGTCCTTAAAAATTGCTTAATTTTTATTTTGGAAAATAAGGGCCCTTAAAAGTACTTAATTTTGATTCTAGATTTTTAAAAGTCCTTAATTTTTTAGCATTACTATGGTTGAAAGGAACAATTTTTCAGTTCAATTTCAATGAAATCATTGAAAATGGAACCCAGATTGATTTCATACATTAACTTTAACAATCTGAATGACGTTAACTTTTAAAAATCTGACCTGACTCATGTTTGCAAAAATTGCCTAGTGGTTCTTTGGAGAGCCGTGTAAATTAATATAATTATATTAGTGCTTACATTACTATAAAATTGTGTTTTATGATTTTTTTATTTATTGATTTTTTTAGGACGGTAAATAATTTGCACTATCACTGGAGGCATATTCGATAAGCAATCATACTATTTTTAAAGTCCTTAATTTTTCAAAATAGTGCTTAATTTTTTAAAAAAAAAGTCCTTAAAAGTGCTTAATTTTTGCTTTGTTGAAAGAGTGGGAACCCTGTTTATATTATAAAAAAATAATAATAAAATATGAATAGATTTCAATGAATGGAACTGGCTCATAAGTTTTCGGAATTTATGATTATTTTTTTTAAATAGAGAAAAAAAAATTTCTAGTAGTTATAAAAAATTTCATGATGTAAATATTAATGAGGAGGGAAATCTATTACCAATTTGATTTCTTTCTAGCAATTATTTAATTAATTATTTAAGTTTTATTAGTAAAATAAAATTAATATAATACTTATAAATATTTTCTATAATGTTATTTTTTTATTTTGAATTCAAGTTTTTGTTCTGAAGTAATAAAAGCTTTTAATTAATTTTTAATTTACTCAGTTGTTTCCCTTATTTCAAAAACGTAATTCTTAAATTAAAGTGATAAATTATTTTATTAAAGTTTAGTGATAAATTATTTTGTATGAGAAATAAGAAGAAGCATTTCTTTATTTTAACAATTCTGTTTCCTCATCTTTTTTAATAATTTTTTACATAAAAATTTTTAAAGTTAAACACAAATTTTTTTTTCAAAGATAATCTTTCTGTTACTGTATATTAGTAAATTGTTAATAGTTAATATTTATATATTAATAATATGGATTTTCTTATAAATTTATTACTTGTTATTTTTAAACTAAGCAGTCTAATAAGTTTAATTAATGCATTTATTTTATACTTCTGATTAAAATTGAATTAGAATTTTGAGCTAAGTTTCAACGAAATTTAAAGGAAGTGCTGATTTTTAAGGATAAGAGTTTCATGAAAGATCTGCATACCTCATTTTTATGTATTTAAAAACTAATTTGCTTTAGTTTATAACTCTCCAACAAATAATTTATAATTTCATCTGGAATTTTATTTATTGTCTTCTATAGTTATTTAAACATAAAATTGATTTTAAAATATTAGCCATTTCTTATATAATTAATTGAATTTCTTTAAGAGATTAATTTTTCCTTTTTTGAGAATTATGAGTTTCCTGACAATGTGTTATATATTAATTTTCATTGGTACATAAATTTTTATAAAAAAAAAAAATCGAGACATCACAAACCATTAATTGAATTGTTAAAACTATTTTTATTTTATTTTTATGTTTTAATCTGTTTTGTACAATTGGCTGGTGGCTGGGTCGCGTGCAAGCGATTTTCCCCTTTTTGAGTTTAAAGTCCCTTCGCAAACGATTTTTCCCCAACAGGCAGTAAATGGCTGAAGAGGAGTGATGTAATGGAAGAAGAGGAGTGACGTAATGGTATGAGAGCCTATCAGAGCTTGCCAGAGGGCGCTGTTTTTCTCCCTCCTTTTTTTCGACGCAGAGCGCGTTAGCCAGTCTCGTAATCTTTTTCTTAAAAGTAGCACGTTTTTTTTAGGTAGACGTTTTAGGGCTACTAGGCCCTGGATCCAGGGACCGGATGACCGATAAGTATTTTTTTCCCTTTCAAACTGGCGTATTAAATTAGTAATTTATATCAATTAACAATGTCGAACGTCTTTAATTAACAATGTCGAAAAGTATTATAATGTTAAATTAACTTAAACTAGATACGTAAAAATCTAATTACGCCGATAATCTTAAACCACGTGCGAATAATTTTTTTTTTAAACCCAGCCCAATTTTTATAAGTTGTTAAATGTGAATTATTTTCTATAATATATATTAAATTGTTGTAACATTTTAAATTTTGTTTTGAAGATGTTGCACCAAAATTTTGAATTCCTAAGACATTCTAATTAGTGTGTTAAGAAGAATGTTTTATATATGTTGTAACCAAGAATTATGTTTTAATACATTTTTGTTTTTAAAAGTAATATTTGTCTTTAATTCTGACTATGCCTCGTGCTAATTCCATGGATAAGATTAAATTTCGTGCACATGCAGTCTAGTGCCATGATTCTCTAAGGTTATCTATAATCCCTTTTTTTTTAAATAACTAATTATTTCGTGAAATAATGCCAATTATCATGGCTTAAAATTAACTACAGTCCAAATTGCTGTTTAGCTTAGCAGATTAAATTTGCTAACAGATTTTCGAGTCACGTGGATGGCCTGCACGAGCACGTTGGAGAAATAGTAAATACTGAATGTAAAAGTTAGTTTTAGGTATGAATATACTAATTAATTTAACATTAGAATCACATTGTAATTATTTGAATATTTTAGATACGTTATTTGATTTTTGATTTAAATTGTTCACAACGCAAATGTAAACTTAAATAGTTATTCCAAATTCTATACGATCTATTATATTATTATTTTATTAAAGGACATTATAGGTTAAAATGATCCATGAAATTAAAAATAAATTATAACCACGTTTACGAACCAATATATAACTTAAATATAACCCTGGTTAGTTTAACTTCTTTAACTATAACAGTATAAATTTTTTACAAATTATACCTGAATTACTTTTGTCAATACTGAATACCAATTTTTAAGTTATACCTGGTTTACAGTATAAATATTATAATAATAAATAATATTTTTTTAATTTAACACTGAATAAATAAATAACATAATCTTAAATATAACAAATGTATTGATATAATACTTAAGTCTTTACCCATGGAAATTTAAAAATAAAACCATATTAACAGCAATCACGTTGTTGTTTTAATGCCACTTGCCAACCAACAAGCCTGCCTGATAAAACCAAGCGAATTTAAAGAAGAGAGTGTGTTTCTTGTTTTTCAGTGGCACCATCTATGGCCATGAATATGACTTCAGCCACACACCCTTCACTGCCTGTTTATAGGGCGAACCCATTTATTCATCCACAGATCGTAATTTTGACCTGATGATCAGAGAATGATCATTCTCCAATTCAATACCCCCAAAGGTATTGATATGTTATGGGAACATGGAAGACTTTGTGAGTTAGCAGATTTAACGTACACCTATCACAATTTACTACTAGGGGAATCTTCGGCTGAAGGGGATTGAATTCACAACCTATTGGACATGGGCCCAACGCATTTCCAGCCAGGTTATCCCACCCACGCAACAGTCATAAAAATAATAAACAACAATCATAAAATAACAAACAACAACATAACAAGTATCAAATTTAACAACAATTGTAAAAATAGTATTGTTTTAACTAGTTATTTATTTTTTTAATCATTTTTTTACGGTAACTATTTTGTTTTATGGTTTGTTTGTTTTTTAATTGTTCTTTAACTGGTAAAATTATTAATACGGTGTATATTTTGTCCTTAAAAACTGCATTTTCTATTTTTTAATACTTAATTGTTTTCTTTTTTGATAATTGTTTATCTTAATTTTTACCTAGGTCTTTTTTCTCACAAACTTTGGTTTTTAAAATTGTCTCTAATTTCAGCACAGATATTAAATTTTGGTAACAATCGATTGTATCCCTTTCGTATTTTAAGTATTTTAGAGCTATTCTTCTTCAACTAACAATACAACCGATTTCCAGCCATTGCTTATTCAAGCAGCTTTATCCATCTCAGTCTATTAGACACCAGTCTAATAGATTAGACACTATTGACTCCCACATTGCTCAGACACTTTTCCACATTGTCTAACCATCTTGTACGTGTCTAACCATCATGTACCTTTCTTTTTTTTCCCTTTTGATTTAGAAAAAATTTGTATTATTATTATTTTTTGCTGGTTTCTCATTGACCTGACCAAGATATCTGATTTGTTGAATTTTTAAAAATTTTGCCGTATTTGGTGCTATGAATGTATGTATCCTATTCATTCTCTTTTACTGCATCAAAAAATTTTCTCAACATTTTTCGTTCAGATATGTTTTTCATAGTACAGCACTTACTTCCATGTAAAACAATTGGTCTAATTAAGCTCTGATATAGTAGTATATATTTTTTTCTATTCAATACAATTGTTCCAAATACTCCAAAAATTCTTCAGAAGACCTTTTGCTTAAACATAATAATCTATTTCCTTCTAATTTATTCATTATCCAGCACTCATTCTCATGTAAAATTATTCGTCTTACTAAAGTCTTATAGAGTTGTATTTGTGTTTCTCAATTCAAGTATTTTTTATTTTATTTTATTTTAACTGTGTTCTTAATTCAATATTTGCCATATTTATTTCATTGTTAATTTCTGTTTAATGTTATAATTAATGTTTATAATTCTTCCAAGTATTCCGAAAATTCTTCTCCAGATCTTTCATTAAATTCTAAATTATCTATTTCCTTCTGATTTATTCATTATCCGTCGCTCATTTCCATATAAAACTATTGGTGTTACTAAAGTCTCATAGAGTTGTATTTTTATTCCTCTGTTCAAGTATTTTCTTTTTATTTAAACTGTTCTCTTAATCCAAAAATAGTATCTATTGGCCATATTTATTCAGTTTTAATGCCATCATTATTGTTTATAAATTGTTCCCAACTTTTTAAACTGATAGACTTTTTTAAAAAAAAAAATACTCTTTTATTTTCAAAAGGAATAAATCTGATTTTTAGGGTGTTACTGCCATGAATTCAACCTTTCCTTCATTGATAATTGAGCTAAGATTTTTAGCTGCGTTCTGAAAGGCTCTGAAAGTTTCGATCTAATCTTCCTTAGTTTTACACATGATATGTATTACAGCGGCAAATGCTAATAATTCAGGGTGGCCACCCACCTGGAAAACCTTGAAAACCTGGAATTATCAGGGAATTTTTTTTTACTGGAAAAAACCTGGAAATATCAGGGAAATTTGGATAAAAACCTGGAAAAATCAGGGAATTTTAAAGAAAAGCTGGAAATTTTTCTTTGATAATTTTTTTAATTTCACTAATTTAAATTATTTGCTAATTTTCTTAATTTAAATTGTTTCATCCATTATACCCACTTTTTTTTAACGGAAATGTATCGCCAAACAGTTGAAATATCATCAACTTAGC